CTACAGAGGGAGCAGCTGTGCAAAAGGAGTTCGAGTGCCTCGGGGGCTGCCTCTAGGCGGCTGGCTGTGGGAGGGACGTAGCGACGTGAGGGGCGTGGGGAGGGCGTGATGGGCGGTGAGCGGGCGTGGTTTCGGTGGTGTGAACGGCGTGTGCGAGGGGGGAGTGAGGCAACACGGCACGCAGGCGAGGCCGTGCCGGATACACCGAAAGCGTATGACCCCAGGGGGCCGCGCCGTGGCCCTGGCGGCGGAGGGCCCCAGGGCCCGGGGCGGCGGTGTGCTGCGCCGCGGCGGGGGGTCGGGGGCAGGGCGCAGGGGAGGGACGGCCCGCCCGATGCCCTGCGGCCCCGAGCGCCGCCGCGGCAGGGGGGGTCGCGCCGCAAGCGGCCTGGGCGGCTGACCGCGGGGATGGCGGCCCGGGTGCGGCGGACCCAGGCTGTCTACGCCACGCGCCTTGTGCAGGCACAGCTTGAAACATTTCCACAGTATCACACAGGCATGGTGTTTAGAGAACACTTCAGTATCATAATATATATATATTATATAAATATCATCAGTCTTCAGGTTCCTATGTCAAATGAAAACAACGCACTTGAACGACCACTTCCAGTGCAAGGGCGGCCCAGCGTCTGTCCCTTCGTGCAGGTGGTGGCGCTGCGGGTGCGGCGGCGCGGCGGGCGGTGGGGGTGGGTGGTGGTGCGGGGGGGTCCGGGGGGGGGGGCGCGGCCGAGGGGCAGACATCGCCTCACGCCCCCCACCCATTCGGGGCGGAAAAATAAATACATCTATCTAAAAAAGAGAGAAGAGAGAAAGAGCAAGAAAGAAAAGGGAAGATTAAAAAAAAGGGGGATAGAGAGAGAGCAGGTCTGCCTACATCCCCATTATTGCCTTTGGGTCACCACCGCGCCGCCGGAGGGGTCAACAAAAAGTCCCCCCCTTTTTGTCCTTCGCACCCCCTCCCCCCTCCCCCTTCCTTCCAGAGGAGAAGCTGGAAAGGCGCAGACGGGAGGAGGTGAGATGGGAAGGAGGACTCATTTACAGGTAAGTCTGTCTGTCTGTGCAGGTGGACAATTGCGGTGTTGCCAACTCTACAACTCGTTTTTTTATTTGCTGCGAGAAAAGATTTTTCTTTCTCTTTATAGAATCTCACAAAAAAAAAGAAACAGAACAAAGAGAAGAAATGGTGAAAAGATTTTATAAATAAATGGGATTCAAAGAATGAGTATAGACAGAAAATAAGTCATTTAACAGACTGATCAAATTATTCCTTACGGGTAATTAATCAGAACATCCTTATCAAAGAAAGCATTTATATGCATTTTTTTCTTTAAAGGAAAAACTATCAGCCTTTCTATATTCACGCCTTATATCACTTTCTTCATTTTTTCCTTCTTAACTGCCTCATTTTCTTAATCAATTACAACAGTTTTGCCAAATAAGACAAAACTCCGTATCCTGCTTCAAAGAGAGACTATTCTTGGGAAATATAAGAGAAAAAATGGGGTTTTATAACAAGAACATAAGAAAATAACAGAAGAACTAAAATGAACAACAATAATGGAAATAATACAACAACAGCAGCAGTGGAATACAATCCAAAAAGACCCAAAAAAGGGAAAAAATTGTCCTCGTTAATATAAAAAGCTGATGTTAATTATTTGTTAATTCTATGGCACAGGTAACAGGTATAGGATAGGAACAAAACATTATGGCTATCCAACGCCCTGAGAAATTTGGTAAACTGTTTTTTTTTCTTCAAAGCCTCGTTTTATGTATATTTTTAGTTTTCTTGTCTTTTATTATTGTTATTGTTATTATTAGTGTAATTATCATTATCATTACTATTATGATCATTTTCATTATTATAATTTTATTACTATTATCGTTATTGGCATTATTATAATCATCATCAATACTATGTTTTAACATTCCATTCTTCTTTAAGCACTAATTATCGGGATTTTTTCACGATGTCACCTGAATATGTTTACTTGTCAGCTATAACAACCGAAAAAAAATTCCTTAATCGCCTTACCTTAACAAGCAGATAGATAGTGTCTACTCGTCAGCCCTCCAACCCGCTACGTCACTGAGACTTATGACGTAACTGGATTGTTGGCTAGAAATGCACTGGTTGTCAAAGTTATATTGCAAGTTAGTGAAGCATCAATTGGTGAGAAATCAAATTAGCGAAGCGTCAGTTAGAGAGTAATTAACTAACTATGCAGCGACGAATGAAGCACCAACAATTGAGGCATGGACTAACTCCACACGTAAGGGTAACAAGTCTTATATTTCAGCGTAAGACATCCTTTTCCGAACCAATTAGACATGTTTTTGTCTTAGAGTCTCCATTTTTTAGGAAACAGTAAAAATCTTTGAAAAAATCGACGGCAAAGAACAAGAGACAGAGAAATTAATGATTTTATGATGAATTACTTTTCTGATTCTCTGTTCTCTATAAACTCTTGTTTTGTAATATTTAGTCGTTTTAAGCTCTGCCGTGGGACTATTGATTGTTATAAAGGTAGTCTAATATAGACACTCATTTTGTATGATCAAACGAGATTACAATTCATCAGTGAGTTGATAAAAAAGACAATTGGCTGAGTAATGGATTTCATGGCCATTTCTGTAGACATTCATATCCAGTCTCAAATATCTACTTGTTTTCTTCTTTGGGCAAACATGACACTTTCAGCAATTATCTTCACCTATTGGAGAATGTAGCTTTTGGTTAACACTTTCTTAGGAGGCTTTTTGTAAACTCACAAGATGTTCCTGTGACTGAATACAAGTGGTTGAAGAAGTCCATGTAAAATGACAATAACAGTAACAAAATACAGAGAGAATATGTTTGTATTTTCTTCTTTTTCTTTGTTTAAGGAGAGCACCTTGGTGAGCGGGCCGTGGTTAGGTGAGGGAGAGGAGCTTCACCTTAGGAGGAAGGGCGCGCCTCCCGCCCCAAGAGGATCCCCTGGACGAAGGACGACTCAAGGATATCGAAGGAAGAAGGAAGCAGAAAGAGAACGAAGAGGAAAGAAAGGCAAGAAAGAAAAAGAAAGACAGGAGCGAGGTTTCACGTTTTCTTTCCGTCTCCCCCCCTCTTTTTATTCTCTCTTTCTTTCCCTCTCTCTCCTCCTCTTTCTATGTCTCTCTCTGGTTCCCTCGTCCTTCCTCGTACCTAAACCACGTCGTCTTGAAAGCGCCCAGGTGGCCAGACTCCCTCCCTCAGCTGGCGTGGAACCAGCTGGACTAGCCACAGAGCCCTACTTTGACCTGAGTGACATGGGCTAAAATACATTCTTTTTTATTAGAAGTGATTTTTATTATCATTATTCATTTGTTATCTTATCCACTTATCAATCTATATTCATTTGATCCCTGATGGGTTCCCTGGTTTCAGTCTCTCCTTCTCTCTCTCTCTCTCTCTTTCGCTCTCGCTCTTTGGACAATCATGATGATAATTCTGTAACTGGAGGCGAAGGTGGGTGGGAGTGAGGGTAGAATGTAAGAGCACAGCCTCGTGACAAACCGCCACTCCCACACTTCCACTCACTTGAGATCCGATCAGCTGTTTTAAGCTGATGCCGGCTCTCTCGCTCTCTTTTTTCACGCTCTGATACCATGTGTATTTACATGTTTTTTTCTATTGACATTTCATGTATGTTTTTTTTTTTTTTTTTTTTTTTTTTTTGCTTTAAGCTTTAATCAACACAATTTTTTCGTTATTAGATAAAAAAAAAGATATATAATAGTTTTTGTCATAGAAATGTTATTTTGTTTCTTTCTGTATTTTTACATCTGTATCTTGCGAGCGTGAAATTGTACATAAAGTCCATAGGCAGAAGCTACAGTGAATACTTATGTAGCCTTTTGGTCTTAATCACTTTTAGACAAATCATCTTGGAACCAAAAACAACAATATGTATGGGAAATTATGCTTCTATATAGATATATTTCATAATACACAATCTTAGCCACATTTCCAAAAAACAAACGATACATAACAAACATATATTTATATATATTTATGTATATATATATTCGTCCTCGTGCAAGTGATGTTACCAGTGACCAGCTCAGGTATCTTGAGACATTTTAGCTCTCCTTTTAGAGGTGAAAAGACAAAAAAAGGCAAAAGGGAAAAATCCCCACAATTAACGATGGAATCCTGGAACGCTTGGTCAGTGGCACCATCACCATAGCTACCGGGGTGGGGGGGAGGTGAAGGGAAGGGGGAGGGCCTAGAGGGGTATCCAGATACAACACATACAACATCACAAAATCGGTGAGGACGACTAGTAAGATCAGCGAATATATATGTATATAATTTCTTTTAAAAGGGGAAGATAAAACTCTTTTTTTTCTCATTTTTGATATCCTTTCTGGGAAGGTTTGCCTCTAGACCCTGGGCTAACAATATGGAAATTAATCAGTCAGTATCCCCAAGATGGTAAAGATTTCTGCTGATTTGTATTTTTTTTGTTTCTTCATTATACATTTAAATTATCATCATCATTATCGTCATCATCGCTTCCATCTCGTTCATCTTTCCGTCCGTTGTATTTCCGTTCCAGAGAGATTGATTCGGGGAGTCACAGGAATCTTGCTTTTGTTCCTTCTTCGCCGCTGTCCAAGTGATCTTCATCTCCAATTTTTCCCTGCTGGTGTCCGAGGGCTGGAGAGTCCGGGAGGGGGGGAGGAGGAGGCGTCGAAGGAGAAGGCGGAGGAGACGGTCCCACCAGCGGCAGACCTCGAAGTGAGTCCTTCGGTCTTCTTGTGGTCTTCGGTTCGCCCAGAAGCTGTTGGTTCTATCGGAAGCGCGTCGCTGATTGGCTGGCGGGCCCAAGTCGCGTTCGCTGATTGGCTGGTAAGTCCTGGTTTGCGTCGCTGGTTGGCTGGCAGGCCTTGGTTCTTTCAGACACGACATCACTTCAGGGAAAGAAGGGCACCGCACGACGGCGTTTGAGTCGTGGCCGAAGAGGACGACTTCCTAATAAGGGTGTATATATAGTGTATCAACCGAGGTCAAGTCAGGTCAAGGGTCACACAAGCCATCACCAAAGAGACTGTCTACGATGAAGTCTTCACCGCATGGCGTCTGAACCCTCCTCGCACAGGTCTTCAGGTATAGATTTTCTAGACCTCGTATTTCCTTCTCACTTCTGCATTATTTTTTTTTTCGTTTACGTGAATGTAGGTCAAGTACTTGAGAATTAGATTCATCATTATATATATTCATTTTAGATGTTGCTGAGTCTCCTGATAAGTAGCATGGAATCAGACCACCCCTGCTGGTACGTGAGCGCCGAGGCCCGGTCCGTCTCAGGTGGAGGCGCCCTGTGAATACTGCCGCTGCTACTCCGTCCTCGCGCCGCCGGACGTCTTGCTCGTGGGTCCCCGGCGGCGTGGCTGAAGGTTCGGCTCGGCTGGTGAAAAACCGCGAGCTGAGATCACCGTTCGGAGACTTTCTGGGGCGTTGCTGAGGCCATGATAGAGGTGCGGGGGAGGGGTGTGTGTGGCGGTGGATGTTGTTGCACAGAAAGGCCAAATATTTATCCTTCTTTTTTAAAAGCTCTGTTCTTTATTCCTTTTGTTTTTTTCTTCTTTCGCGATGGTAACGAACCTCCGTAAAGAAAACCACGTGACCACAACAACCAATGACGCCATGCAGCTCTTATGATGTCCTAGGACTGTCTGCTTGAGAACCGGTCGACGCCGTCTTGACAGTGGCATCACGGCGCCAGGAGGCCATCCGGGAACACAGTGAGTGACCTAGTGAACCCCGTGGCTCAGGTCGGGGTCATTAGGTCATCAAGTGCTCGCGGAAAAGGTCATCTAAGGTCATCCTCATTGCGATCGGTGGCTGGGAGATAATAAAACAAACAAACAAGGGAAAACAGATGGTGCAGAACATCCCAATATGTAAACATGTCCTCCTTCTATGTATGTATGTATCTCTCTCACTTTCTTGTTATTCCATTCATCATCGGCTTGGCGGAGAGGGAGAGGAGGAGGAGTAGGAGGAAGAGGAGGAGGAGGAGGAGGAAGAGGAAGAGGAAGAGGAGGAAGAGGAGGAGGAGGAGACGACGACGACGACAGGGTATTCCGCCACGCTTAATGAACATACCGTTTGCGAATGTCGCTTGAAATCTTGTTTTTCTTTTCTTCTTTTTCTTGCTTTTGACCTTTTTCTTCTTCTCCTCCTTAAGGTGCTTAAGCTGAATAAAGTATTGCCTTCCTTCGTCACTTGTTTGGAGGTAGGGGGTTGGGGGGGGGGGGGGAGGCTTAGGAAGATGGGGAAGAGAAGGGGGTTGAGGTAAGGGTAGGGGGAGGGGGGAAGGGGTATTAAAGGGTGGATCTTATTTACTTATTTACTTATTATTTTATTATTATTATGCCACCACCTTCGATATGCATCCAGTAAATCACATAAATGAATAAATAATAAAAAAACACGTAGGATTCTTCGCCAGACACCGTTTCCATCTCTTAACATCTTTTATTTTTTATTTTGCTTATTTTTTTGTTTAGCTTACGTTGGTATTGCACTTTATTGCCCTACAGGAAAGTTTGAATATTGTTTATCATTTATATATATATATGTATATATATATATATATATATATATATATAAGTATTATTATTCTTTTAAAAATGGGGGTTGGGGATGGGGGTAGGAGGGGTGTGTGAATTCATAATGATAAGTTAATTTATTTTTTGTTATTCTGTATCGTCCATTATCTCGTTGGGGCGGGGTTGGGGAGGGGGGGGGTGTTTGTGTGTGTAACAATCATTTCTTAAAATATATAGAGATATATTTTTTTTGTTGTTTTTGTTATTTTGTTTCCGACTTTCTTTCTTCCTCTGTCCACTTCACACTTCCCTCTTGCGCTTAATTCAGTCCTTTATTCGTGCAAAATAATTTTTGTTATTATTATCATTGTTTTTTCCTCGCGGCTTTTTTTGGCGAAAGTGCAGGCGCGGAGGGGGGGCGGTGAGGGGAGAAAAGGGGAGTTGGATGAAGGGGAAGGGGAGAAAGGGGGGGGGGGGGGACAAAAGAGGAAGGGAAAAGGGGTGAGGTTAAAGGAAGTAAGAAATGTGTATGGGGTTTATCTAAAAAATTTGGGGTGGGGGGATGTGTTGGGGACGGAGGCTGGGTCGACTGTTCGCTATATTGCGTATTTCGGGGAGGAGGAGGAGGAGGAGGAGGAGGGAGTGAGGTGAAGGGAGAATAAAAGGGAAGGAAGGGGAAGAGGGGGAAGGAAAAAGAAGAGGAGTGTGGAATCTTTTTCATCCTTTCTCCTCTTCTTCAACTTTTATTATTATATATAGGAAGGGGGGGAGAAGAAGAAGGAAGGAGTTTAAATAGGGTTGAGGGATAGGGCAAAGAGGAGGGGGAGGGAGGGAGGGGAAGGGAGGGGGTATGTTGCTCCTCTCTTGACTTATTTTCCACCCCGTGCCCATCGGATGATTGCGTCCGCTAGCACATCCAAATGGGCTTTCGTCTGTGGAGGGGAAGGAGAGGGAGGGAGGGGGAGGGAGGGAGAGAGAGAGAGAGAGAGAGAGAGAGAGAGAGAGAGAGAGAGAGAGAGAGAGAGAGAGAGAGAGAGAGAGAGAGAGAGAGAGAGAGAGAGAGAGAGAGAGAGAGAGAGAGAGAGAGAGAGAGAGAGAGAGAGAGAGAGAGAGAGAGAGAGAGAGAGAGAGAGAGAGAGAGAGAGAGAGAGAGAGAGAGAGAGAGAGAGAGAGTAGACAGACAGACATAGATATAGAGACAGACAAATAGACATAGATATAGAGACAGACAAACAGACACAGAATATAGTATAGATATAATATAGAGATAGATAGATAAGATAGATAGATAGACAGATAGACAGATTGCCAGAGAGAGAGAGAGATAAGATATAGCAGCAAAGCGATAATAGAGAGTGAAGGAGAGATGAAAAAGGGAAAAGGCAAAGATAAATGATTTTGGAAGGGAATAGAAAAATAGAAATAGAAAAAAAGGAACAGGTGAGGAACGGGGGAAGAAAAAGAGAGAAAAAGTTGGTTAGTTTGGTTGACCAGTTAGTAGACATATTTTTTTATATTCTGTAGGGAAATAATATATTATATTAACAAGCAAGCATATTTGTTATTCAGTTTATTACCAAGAAATCTGACATTATATATGAGATAAATTGCAGTATATACACTTATATATTAGTTCTATATAAACACATACAGTTAATGTAGACACAAATGAATATACAAACACATGCATTGACGTAAGCATATAGACTAAAATGGACATAAGAAAAGAAAAGAAAATAAGAAATTAGGTAAACTACAGAACAAGAAAGGCAATATGTATGTATCTATGTATGTATGCATGTATGTATGTATATATCTATGTGTCTATCTATTTACCTATCTGTCCATCTGTTTGTCTACCTATCTATTTGTCTGTCTATCTATTCCTATATCAGTCAATCAATCTATGTATCTATTTATCTATATATGACAGGGAGACGGGGAATACAGAGAAAGTGAGAGGCAAGATATTCAGAATATGATGCAACAATCAAAATCATCATGGTAAACAACAGCAACAACAACAACAAAAACAAAAAAACGGCATCAAGAACAACAACAATAACAACAACAATAACGACAGCTACAACAACGACAACGACAACAACAACAGCAATATCAACAACAACAACAACAACGATAGCTACAACAACGACAACAACAACAGCAATATCAACAACAATAACAACAACAAATAGCACAGAGGTCTTTCTACGCCACAGACGAGCAAATCTTAATTCCAGGTGACTGACAGCTATGATGGATCACACCCTATTAACAACCACGATTGGTGATTATCTTAACTAATGAGAACTATCGTAAGAGGAGGGAGGAAGTGGAGAGGGTGGGGGGTGGAGGGGAAGGTAGGAGGGTGAAGAGAAGGGGTAGAGGTGGAGGACGCGGAGTGGGAGTGGAGGGAGGGGGAAGGGTTGAGGTGAGGTGAGGAAGGGTGTAGGAGGAGGAGGAGGAGGGGAAAGGGGTGGAGGGAATGAGGGGGAAAGTGGGGGGAGGAGGTGGAGGGGAAGGGACTGGAGGGGGTGGAGGATGTATGATGGAGGAAAGGAAAAGGAAAAGGAAAAAGGAGGGATGTATATGCCCTAATCCCCACTAAATCACAGCCAGACATCTGCTCCATCTCTTCACCCTCCTTCACCAACCTCTTCCCCTCAACAAAGCACCTCCTCCAACCTCTCCCCAACCCAAACACCCTTTTCCCCAACAGAAACCCCATCACACCACCCCTACCCCATACCACCCCCCTCCAACCTACCAGATAAGAACCCCCCCAACCTTCTCCCCCCAACCTTCCACCGATCATTAAGATGGGATAGCTCCTCATTAGTCCTCACCGTCGAAGTGTGAGGTCAGGGGAGACCGGAGGGGGGGGGGGAGGGGTGAAAGTGGGTAAGGGGATGGCAGAGGGTGTGGAGGAGGAGAGGGAGTAGGGGGAGGGGAGGGAGAAGGGGATTGTCAGGGAATGGGGGAGTAGGAGGAGTAGGAGGGGTAGGGGTTGGCAAGGGGGTGGAGGGAAAGAGGGTGGGGGTGAGGCAGGTTGGGGATATAAATGAGACGTCTCTGTGCGTGCGTAAGTTTACATTGTGTATATATTGTATGTATGCATGTCTGTATGGATGAATTAATGAAAGAATGTATGTATGGAAGATGTATGTGTTGAGTATGAATGTATGAATATTATGTATGTATGTATGTATGAAAGATGCATGGAAAGAGAACGAGAGAGAGAGAAGTATGTGTGCGTGTGTGTCGTGTGTGTGTGTGTGCGTGTGCGTGTGCGTGTGTGGTGTATGTTGTGGTGTGTGATGTGTGTGTTGTGTGGTGTGTGTGTGTGTGTGT